GAATTATTTTGATACACAATGTAGTACATAGTATATATAGTATATATAGTATATAGTATATAGTATATAGTATATAGTATATAGTATATAGTATATAGTATATAGTATAGAGTATATGGTATATAGTATATAGTATATAGTATATAGTATATAGTATATACAGGGACGCCGGAACTGGGGGGGGGGGGCAGGAGGGGCAGCTGCCCCTCTTGCCTTTTGCTAGGAGGGGCAAGAGGGGCAGAAGTGCCCTTTGAGTTATAAAATACTACCTGATAAATCACATTTCCAGTGATGCTTTTTGGGCAAAATCATGAGGTGTGATCTTGAATGTGACCTGATTAAGTGCGTTTGCTTTCATATATTGGCAAGCCAACACACAATTGTAGGTTTATATCCTCACTGGAGTCTGTAGAGGTGCCCTTTGGTGTGCGTTTGCCCCCCTTGCCTTTTTATCGTTCCGGCGTCCCTGAGTATATAGTATATAGTATATAGTATATAGTATATAGGCCTAGTATATAGTATATAGTGTATATAGTATATAGTATATAGTATATAGTAATAGTATATAGTATATAGTATATAGTATATAGGCAAGTAGTATATCATGAAAATATGCTGTGACATTTGATCACCAAAATATTCGGTATCGGCACCCTGTTGCGTTTAAAGCCCAAATCGCGCAATTTACTATCATTTTTAGCACATAAACCCGAATTTTACCTAGTTATAGTTGACTTTTCCCAAAAGTACGCACGGCTTTATGCTCTTTGCGATACTCTCTTTATGTCTACATGGCTTGCTTTTTATTCCGCGTAATATATCCTGTGTCACTTTGGCCATGAACTTGAGCGACCGGCCGCGGTATTGATATAGATTATTACTACGGTGAACCCGTGGTTGAAATATACAGCGGCTGTATTCTTTAAAGTATGCGTAAACGACAGAAGTACGCACGGATTCTGAAAGCCTGGAATCCAGTGATCAATATGGTACCAAAATGTTAAAATTTGGCGTAATATTTCCTGTGTCATTTCGGCGATTTGTGTTAGCAATGTTTTGGTCGACAGGGCTAATATCTAGTTGTTTATGGCTCGGATTACTCTTCTGGCGTTTACCGATGCAGTAAGCGACGATGAATTTGGCGAAGAAGGCTCGTGGGAAAGCAATTCGAATAAAGAAGACCTTCCTAATTAATTTTAACATTACTATGAATAAGTAATAAGTATGTATTATATCTTTATATGACATTATATAGCATGTATATTCCCGAAAAATCGTCGCGCGACGCAGCTGTAAGCGACGTTTATAATGATTCACAATATCTCGTCAATTAATACATAAAATAGAGCAGTATATAAGTCAACAGGCAGATAAGTAATGTATTTTGTGCAGTGTAATATGTTTGTAGTGTGATACGCGTGAACATGAATGACGCATTGCGCTTTTGGTGTGCGGGTTACACTTTCATGAACAACAACATAAAGATAATGTATGTATGGCTGAAGGCCGAGTATTTCACACAATTTCGCCAAACTTTTACGAGCGTTTTATATAACTCTATATCGGCTTTAAACCTTCTTCTGTAGTCCTATAAACTTCTCACTAGCCGCCATCATCGTAATTACTTGCAATTACGCACGCGCGGGCGTCAAAGAGGCAAATGTCCGCCCTTGATACTAATATTTTTTGGCATGATAAACAGCAGTCTGTCAAATTTGGATTCGAATTATTTTGATACACACTGTATAGTACTATGCACTGAACCACAGAAAATCTATTCCCTAGGGGGTTGCCACGAAATTGCTTTTCTAAGCACTTTTTCGCCCAACGGCCCACGGCCTATATTAGTAATACATCATGTTAAATCAATGTTTGCAAAATATACGCGAGGGGTAGCTGCATGTATTTCTAGTAAAGTAGTAATTGACTTCGTGTTGTGCAATTTTTGTCTGAAATCGAACATGTGATTAAGGGCCTGTTTATATGATCCCGCCTAAACGGGACGGGACGTTTTCATCCCGCCTAGACGGGATACTCGCCTAGTGTTTATATGGACAAAATACATTGCCGGGATCAAAGCCATTTAAGTGCTTGACGTCATATTTTTGTTGCAATAAAGGCATTTACGCATGCTCAAAAGGGAAAATTCATCCCGCCTAGCGGGATGAAGTGTTTATATGATAATTTTTAGTCCCGGCTAGGCGGGATGAGGCGTTTATATGGGACTTTTTCATTTCGCTCAGGCGGGATCCCGGTATCAGTTGCCGAGATCCCATCTAGGCGGGATAAGTGGCGGGATCATATAAACACTCTTTAGAATTTGTATTACAAACGGGATCTCGGTAAGCATCCCGTCCCGCCTGACTGGGATCAAATAAACAGGCCCTAAAATAGCACTGCCATCATTATATAATTACATGCCGGATTTAACGAGGTAATCATGTAATCTCATAAACCTCCTGCCAGTCCTGGGAATTCCCCTCATTTTCAAGTCCTTATTGTATTAATTAGTAAACAGTCGCTCGGAACTTTCTCTGTTCTTGTTCTCAGGAAAGAAGTTTTACGCGCGTACAGTTGTCTGCTCGTTTGTTGACTATTTTGTAACCAGTCTTGGTAAACAGATCATGTAATCAAAGGTAAGTTTGCTCTGCTTATTAATAAAGAATTAAATTACAGTGACGTCAGCACAAGTAACAGAAATATACGTTTATGTCCGACATGTTCTCTACAAATGTAATGAACTAGTTCGGTCTTTTACACCATTCAGTTGCTTTACGTAGACTATCTTCCGAACATCTGTCGAGCTAATTCGGTAACTACTGCCTGATGAAACATCACTGCAATTATAATTGTAGGACGTCGTTTGCTTTTGTATTTCAACACAATAATAATGAACCGGGCTATAGAAAGAAATAATCGCTACTATAGAAAACCGAAGGCTGTCACTTCTGACCGCTGCCAAAAAGTTTAAGGTTCGAATTCCTAGTTATGACCCAGAAACAGTTCAGATTAGATTAAAGCAATGAAGGTATTGTCTACGAAGTAATGATTGTGTACTGCTCTGTATTGAAGACTTTCTTAAGTCAAGGAGCATTTTGTTCCGCTTTCACTTTGTCGACGTAGATTCAGGCTTTAAACTGCAATGCACTTATAATTATAAGCACGAATAATTATACGATCTTGCTGCCCTATATTTAGCTTGTTTTACTCAGTAAAGCTTTCCATATTATGCATGGGTGTTTTAAGCGCCGGAATATGTTTCAAGAATTCAGTGACAGTCTAAGCATATTAAACACTTGTTTACCTGCTTTGCCTATACTTGTCCTTGGGCCAATTGACGTAACTGCTGTTCTAAGATTTCAAATGATTGAACATTTCCGATTGTGTATATTTGCTACTGTAGAATATACATAAAGAAATCGATATATGTGACGTGTCTTAAAAGTTAAATTAGTGCATGCTGCGTATAGCCTCTGCAATGAAGACAATACTACCCGACTGTCTGCTATATACACAAGCTTATCAATTCGGAGATTTTCCCGAGAGAACGTACTGTGTAGTCCAGCTACTGCGATCAAATTGTTCCTTTTACGATGAAAGCATGAAACTTAGCATGCAGACACAGTTATACTAGGTATATAGGCAGTGGCCGAAGTTAGCCATAGCAAAATTTTTGATGACTTGCATTATTCAAACCTTCAAACACTCATTAATAATTCATAATTTCTTGGCAAATCACGCATTCCAACCACAAGAAAGAGTTGGAGACTCAGAGTCAGCTAGGCATGCATGTTCACATACTTGGCTCAGTATTCACCACATTTGTCGGAGAAAACTGCGATCCTGGGAAAGTTGGTGAAGAAAGATACCAATTGGAATTGGTGTCCGGAACACGAAGCTGCATTTACCGAAATGAAGAATATCATAACTCAAGTTCCAGGTCCAGTTCTGAAATTTTACGATATTGGTAAACATGTCACAGTACAAGTGAATGCTTCCCAGTCAGGGCTAGTAGCTGAGTGAATGTGCTTCTACAAGATGGAAAACCTGTGGCATATGCTTCGAAAGCCTTGACTCCAACCTAGCAAGCATACGCTCAAATAGAGAAAGAAGCATTACCGTTAGTCTTTGGATGCGAGAAGTTCCGTCACTACCTTTATGGTCGAGACTTCGATGCAGAAACAGACCACAAACCTTTAGAAATCATCATAAGAAAACCTCTGCAAACCACCTCATTGAGAGTTCAAAGAATGAGAATCCGTCTACAGAGGTATAACGTGTAAGTATAAGCCTGCATGGAAAGGACTTTTCAGTTGCGGACACACTATCGTGGAGTGATGCCTGTGAAGAGAATTCATTTTAGTGCAAGCTCCGACAACGCCACTATTAAAGACACAATCGGGTTGGATAGTTACAAAACCGAAACGATTTTCAGATTATTTAGTGCATGGAGACTGTAAATAATTTCTAATCTATTTAGTTGAACAATTTATCTATGCTTAAAAATATTTTAAGAAAACACTTAAAACAATAAAAAGAGGGCGATGCAATATATGTATAATGTAATGTATTCATTGATATTTTGTATATGTAATTTATGCAGGTTAATAGTTTGGTATAAAAAGTGCAACATTGTGCAATTGCTGACAAGGAAAGTGAATTTTCTGCATTTAAAAAGGATAATAACGATTTAAAAGACACGAACAATGATTTGAAAAATGAGAACAAATCTTTACATGAAAGGTTAAACAATCTGAGTTATATATTAGCTGACGTACAAGGAAAGGTCAAATCTACAGAAGAGGAGAAGGCTAGCTTAATTACAGCCATTAGCTTACTAAATAATAAATCGGATATTAACTTGCCAAGTAACACGGGTGCGGAAGTTAATGCGGAGGTAATCAAACATGATATTATTGAACCAGGCTCTGTAAATGCTCTACCAACTGACAACGTAAATATCACCAACCGAAATACACTGAAGCGAAAATACTAGTAAAAAAAAATCGAATAAGAAATCTAAGACGTCTGAGAAGCAAAACAAAGACGAACAACGGTGTATAAATGATTCACCTTCTAAAACCACTCAAACCTCTCAACCGATAAACGAGGTGAGTAATGTAAATAAAAATACAACTAGTTCACATAAAAGCAGCTAATCTTCAAGCAAAATAGTCACGGTAGTTGCTGGAGATTCTATATTGAAGCATGTAGAAGTAAGAAGGATGGCGTCTCTCGAACGCGAGTAACCATGTGGTAGTCAAGAGTTTCTCAGGAGCTACAACTTCTGATATGGAAGACTTTTTAAGACCAGTGCACCGAAAGGAACCGAACAACAAAATAATTTTACATATAGATACGAACGATATGAACTGATATATCAAACTGCCCAAACGGTAGAGGGAGTATTAAATCTAGGCATACAAATTACTCAAGACTCGCCTACAACAGACATGGTGATCTCTGGGATACTTCCAAGAACCGATAAACCAAATTTGATGTCCAAAGTGAATCAGGCAAACAGATTAATAAAAGCATTTTGTATTGAAAAGAACTGGCCATTCCTAGATCATGAGTCTTTCAACTCAACTTGCCTGAACTCTCGAGGACTACATTTAAATCGAAAAGGAACTAGCATATTAGCCAGAAATATATCTAAGTATATTAGTACTGATTAGGATATTGCCATTTGTGAGTCTGCTTCCATTTCACCTACCCATCCTGCATGCAGCCTTTGACAAATCGCCTTACTCTAAATTATTCAAGCGAAGCCTTGTGATGGCATCACTGAACATTAATAGTCTAACTGCTCACATTGATGAAGTGAGAATTTTTACACATGATACAAATATTGATATATTAGCCATTAATGAAACCAAACTAGATGCCTCTGTCCACAGCAATGAAGTAAATTTACCAGGATACGAGATCATTCGAAAAGATCGCTATATCAATGGTAGACATGGTGTGTATTTATGTACGTAGTAATTTAAATTTTAAAGTTCGCAATGATTTCATGAACGACAAGCTAGAGTTTCTAATTATTGAGATATCCAAGCCTCGATCTAGGCCGTTCTTGGTAGGTACTTGGTATAGACCACCCAATTCTCCTAGAGAATTATTAAATCCATTTGAAAACACAATCGATCGAATCGATGTGAAAACTCTGAATTATACTTTCTTGGAGACCTAAACTGTAATTTAGCTGCTCAAATCTCTGATGCAAACACTTCTGATTTGTTAAATATTCTAGACACTTATGGTTTGACACAATCAGGGTTCGAATTAACATATAGCGAATCGCGATTCGCTATCCGTTTTGGGGATTTCGCTACTCATTTTGCTATACAGTAATATAAAAAAATCACTATTCAACCTGAGAAGATTTCACATGTGAAAAAGTAAAACGGATAACGTTGGAAGCGTTTGTTTTCAAAAAATTCTTTGTGTATTTGGGGGCAAATCATTCTCTCATTTGCGCTGATATTTCTGAATAGACAACAGAATTCTGTTGCGTTTCCTAATGGCCTCAAGCTGTGTTTTGGTTTAATGTTTTAATATGATAGGCTGACAGTGTAAAATTGTGTCAAAATCCACTTAGGAAAGGTCAAATGTCATGTTACTTGTTCACGCAACTATATAATCAGATTTGAATTTCACAATCACTTGGGTTTAAAACCCAAATCAACTAACTCATTGTTCAATAACTTTCTAGTTTAATTCATGTGTCAGAATATGCGATGTACGCAAGTTAAATGTTTTGCTTCTGAGCTTTGCCATATTTACTTTATGTACAGTATTTTGTTTGTACTTTAATTTGCTGTAACTTTGAATAAATGCCTTTTAATCAAAATCAAAATGATTCCAGCTCTAGACGAAATTTTGATCTAGACAAGAAGAACGAAACCATTTGGCGCCACGGCTGGAACACGCATCTTAGGATGAGTAAAATTTCAAAGTTTGGTCGCAAATTGTTGTAAAATGAGGAAAATATAGCCCTTTGAAGTTTGCAAATTTTATATATATTCGCATTACATGCAGGAAAAATAACCATTTTTGAGCCAAAAGTGGTTATTTGTACTGCGTGTACTGACAAATATATACAAAATCTGCGAACTTCACAGGGCTATATTTTCTTCGTTTTACAACATTTAGCAACCAATCTTTGCAGTTTTACTCATTCTAAGATGCTCTTTCCAGCTGTGCTGTTGGATTTCGTTCTTCTTGCCTTCATCAAAATTTAGTTTATAGCTAGAATCACCCATTTTAACTCTTTTAGATTTTGCGCGAATTTTTACGGGTGATAATTGGAATTATTTAATTTTACATCGTCATTTTCTCACTTTTCTGTCTTGTTAATCTTACACAACTACCAAAAAATAAAGACTACTTAATTTAATCTTTCTTATTATAACAGCCTTTCTGGTTGAAGATCGAATGCTTAATCCTTTTTTACTGTATATGCAACACAGTAATCACTTCTTCGCACAAATTCGCTATTCACTTTTTATTGCACGAGTCAATGGGTAGAAATTCGCTATTCACTTTTAAATATTTAATTCGAACTCTGGACACAATTAATCTCTGAATAACACCAGTTAGATTAATCTCTGAATAACACCAACTAGAATAACACCAGTTTCACAAACCTTAATTGATCTATGCATTATTAATTAATTACCCAGAGAAAGTGGCCTCTTCCAGTGTCCTCTCGCTGGGTATAAGTGGCCATTCACTTGTTTATATGATTCGCAAATCTATATACCCAAAGACAGCAGGAAGGACCATTAAAAGGAGAGATTTTAAACACTTTAATGAGACAAACTTCCTTGAGGTCTTTCCCAGCTAAATTGGGATGTTATTCAAAATTATGATGATCCAAACGACATGTGGAGAGTTTGAGTTTACATGTTGATGAACGTAGTGAATAAACATGCCCCAATAAGGGAGACAATTGGTAAAAAAAAGATCCCCTTGGATCACTCCTAATATACTACGACAAATGCGTTAATTTAAAGAAATTATTTTAAAAAGAAGTTTGAAACCACTAAAGACATTTCTACTTGGAATTTATACAGTGGCGGCGCCAGGGGGGGAAAGGGGGGAGGGGGGTCAAATGCCCCCCCAAATTATTTTTTGCCCCCCCATTTTGCCCCCCCTCAAAAAAAATTATTAGTCACTAATTAAGAGCGACTAAAGGCTACACAAGCGTTCTGTCGTTATCGGAAAATGTATGGCTTATAAGTTGTCATTACTCATTAGTGAATGCGCATATACTCATATGAAACTGTTTTTTACAGTTTCAATATTAGTTTGTAAATCTCTGAATGGTAAAACTTGCCAATACTCCAATAACACGTTTCAAAAA